TACACTGCTGAGGGGAGCAGCGGGCAAGACAGGAGAGGTCTGCTGAGCCATGTGTGGTACCTCCCTGGCAGGGGATCAAATTCAGGCTCTCAAGGTGGAAGTGCTAAGACTTGGCCCCCAGGCCACCAGGGAGGCCCCCTTTTTGGTTTATTGAAGTTTGATTCTTCCACATAAGAGAAACTGAGAATAACATAAATGGAATGACCTTGGGTATCTACTAGTTTTATCTCTGCACTTTACAGATAACATACACAGAGAGGCTATTAGAACAAGAATTCCTGGCCTCCATAAAAGCGAATCAAGCAAATAAACAACAAAAAATACTGAAAGTAAACCCAGACTTATATATCTTGGATAAGAAATCTGGTTCCAACATTCTTTATACTTGAATTCTCTGTATAAAGTTGAAGAATGTAGGTCATGATGGCAGTTTTACATGATGCAATTAAATGAGGTAACATGTGAAAATATTTACCTCAGTGAATAGGGAAAAGTATATGTGTAAGAAATGCTTTTTGAATCAATCACTTCTTAAATCAGCCTTTCTATTAGCATTAGTTCTTGCTTACCTTCCCTCCTCTGATTCATCTCTTTCCACTGTCTCTACCCTGCAATGGGAAAGGTACCCTTCCCTACCCTCACTGTCTCTAAAGGACCTGCAATGGGAAGACACAGGTGATCTCATTTTCCCACTTTCCATCCCCCAAATATTTACACGAGTCATGCCAATCTTTTTGAAACTCTCTCCTTTACTAAAAAAACCCCAAATGGAGATTCTACTACTTCTTGGCAAAAGAACACAGTCCACATGCTGCATTCATTCTACATCCCCAGTCTGGCCCCATGAGCCTTTTCAAACCATTCTTCCCAGCTCATTTCAATGCACACACTCTGTTCTCATGGGCTGGCTCCTGGGCACACTCACTGTCAGTCTTGAGGTTAAGGAATGCCATCCACCGCTTATAGGAAGGAAGACTACTCTGGAAAATTCAGGTGGAATTTCTTCCTATCACCAGAAGCATTAATTGCATCCTCTCTTGTATCGTTCTCTAATTGTTTCACTCATAAATGTGGGCATTATGCTTCTCTGAAGAGGGTATAATTTGTTGGCCAAATTTTAATAAATTTGCATAAATCCCTTCCATAGTGCCACTGAATAAAATGTAGTAAAATGCCAAAAAAAGTACAGAAAGAATAGGTAGAGATTAGCCATCGACTAATACTCTTTTCCACTGAATAATAATCTGTTATAAAACAGAATTATTGTATGTCTATAAAACAATTATCACATACATTTATTACATGTAATATACTTTTTAAAATTTTTTTTTAAAGAGGTATGTATTATTTATTTGTTTGTTTGTTTATACATGTACTGGGTACAGTCAGAAGCGCGGGAGGGTGAGAGAATTCACCAGAGCCAGAGCGGGGAGCAGAGCAGGCAGAAGGACCGAAGTACACTGCTGAGGGGAGCAGCGGGTGGCAGGAGAGGTCTGCGTGCCATGTGGGACCCTCCTCCGGTGGCTGGGGAGCAGCCGGGGATCGAACCGGCGCCGCAGAGGCCGCGGGCAGCTTCACAACCCAGTGCTCAACCGCTGCGCCACCGGGGAGGCCCTACATGTAATATAATTAAGGCAAAATTGACTTGTAAAATGTATCAGCAGCTCTGTAAATTAAAATGAATCACACCTATATTGTGAAATATCTTGAGCTAAAGCCTCCCAGTTTGCATTTGTGGATATTAAGCAGGAACTCACTGGTTGGGAGTAAAAGCAAAAGTATCTTAGGCTGGTTTTATCAAGCTCCAAAATTGTAGATGAAAAAATCTGTTCCTCATACTTCACTTTTCAATTATTATATTTACTATTTTTAAGATTGCTACAATACTATCTGTTTGGGGAATGCCAAGTTTACAAAAGTACAAAATGAACTCATAGCTTCCTCTCAACAATACCCTAAGGTTATTCTCGCTGAACACTTACTTGAATGTTATGTCAAATAACTGAACATTTTGGTGAGGGTAGCTCATAAATAACGATAAAAAAGTCAAACATTGCATTGCTAGGTCAACTGGCTGATTCCAACAGAATTTAATGCCTCACATCAACAGTGACTAAGACCTGTAGATTGTCTGTGACATTGTTTTCCATTGTGTTGTCATTTAATTTCACATCGTGTGTTGTATTTTTGTAAAGTTTCTGGTAAATAAAAAGTAAAGTTTTGTTTGCACCATAGACAAACCTCTATTTAAATATCTTTGTAGGGCCTCCCCGGTGGTGCAGCGGTTGAGCGCTGGGTTGCGAAGCTGCCTGCGGCCTCTGCAGTGCCGGTTCGATCCCCGGCTGCTCCCTGGCCACCGGAGGAGGGTCCCACATGGCGCGCAGACCTCTCCTGCTGCCCGCTGCTCCCCTCAGCAGTGTACTTCGGTCCTTCTGCCTGCTCTGCTCCCCGCTCTGGCTCTGGTGAATTCTCTCACCCTCCCGTGCTTCTGACTGCCCAGTGCTTGTATAAATAAATAAATAAATCTTAAAAAAAAAAAAAGAATTGTTATTTAAAAAAATAAATAAATAAATAAATAAATATCTTTGTAGTGGGAACCTGTAGCAGTTGGGATGCTTCTTTCTTGTGCTAGCTCTTCTCAGTAGTAACCATTTAATATTATTATGATTGCGATGGTTTTGGAGGATAAAATGTTCTCAGGGTCCTTTTAAGTAAGGTATTTGGCCAATTAGATTAGTCTCCTAGGCCCAAGTCAACAAAAGCTAATAGGCAATCTATATTTTACCCAAAAATTTATAAAATGTAAAAACCATCTCTAACTTTGAACATTAGTACACTGAAAGTTCGATTCACTATGTTCTAGTGTTTGCATTCTTTTAAGTCTCTAACTTAAGAAAGCAGTTTTGCCAGTTTCTTTCCTTTGAAATAATCCCAACTTTGTACTGTAGATCCTTCTGAAGATATTTGGAGATTTAATTTCAGTGGTGTACAAAACATGACAGAACCATTTCCTTTAGTTTAGAAATTACCTATTTTAGAAATCATGAATTTCTATTTGATCACACGTTGAATTTATGTTCAATGTGTTCCATGTGAACTGAATAAAGTGTCTGAAGAAGTGCTGCAAACCAATAAATATTTGAATACAAATATTTGAATACAGATAAAATTGAAATTTAAAAGGGAGTGAGTTTGGTCAGTTTACATTACAATGTACATTCCATTTACATTTTACATTACATTTTCAGACATGATCTAAATTCTTCCTAAGACTCATGGGATTACAATCAAAGCTTTGAAATATCAACACACTACATAGTTTCTCTCCTACTTAAAACTGTAAATCTGCCTGACTGTATGGGTAAGCATTTTATGCATGTAACTTAATTGTATTTTTTCTAAGATGTAAAATACATGCTAGAGTAAACTCAAACATGTAGAATTCAAATGACCGTCATGAAAAATGATATTATTTGTCATTAATGTTCTGTGAATGACCACGTTTAGTAGTGCTTATTAATTAGAACGATTGCCCCTTGTTGTCTGATCACCTACACACCCCAGGGCTCAACAAGAGAATAAGTATGTCTAAAGTTGGTGCGGGTTTTGATCAGCCATGTGATGACATCAGCCGGAGTTCTAAGTCCTAGAATGCAGAATTGTGAGCAAACAGTGACATCCCAATATAACTGGGCTGGATCCCAATATAACTCTCCTGGTCACCAAGTATCACTGACTGGGAGCCAAGATTTGTTTTACAAATACACCACCCTAGTGAAATACAGGTATTTTGGCATATCTGCCTTGTCAAATGTAGGGGAGGAAGCGAGGTACAAAACTATAGTTCTATTTTAAAGTAAAAGGAGTTTAAAGCTATCCCTGGAGCACAACAATGACAATGTACTTAAAACCATTGAATGGTACACTTAAAAATAGCTAACATGACAAATTTTATGTTATGTATATTTTCCTACAATTAAAAATAACACTATATTTGGATGGGTCCTGAAAACAGTATCTGTGGGTTTCAGAAGCTTTTCCTAACCATCTCATCAATCTCATACTTGACTACACAATGGGTTATGTTTAGGACAGGGAGCAGGTCACACTTTCTGCAACAATGCTATTTTGTTGCAGAAAGGAGAAAATAAAACTATTTTTGTTGCAGCAATTTGTTTAGGTTACTTGAGAACTAAATAAGCACCCCTTCATCAAGAGTTAATAGGCTGCACTAACTCACAGAAATCTCTAGCAGGAACGTGAGCATCTCCTGCTCCCTGGCTGATAACCCTGTGCGGATCTGGGAAAAGCAATCCTCCTATCCCAGACCTGTGTGATTGCCACAAGGGCAAGCAAAGGTTGCTCACAGGTAGTTACCAACTGGTGGTAGCACTGACTGACTCTTGGTACAACAGCTTTGTAGAGCACACTGCACTATTTCCAAGGACTGAGGCTGGCTGCAGCGGCAAGGTGTGTCTTCACTCTCCCACCTCCCATACAGTGAACCTGCAAGGAAGGTGAGCACCAGGTGGGCTGGGAGAGTGTGCAGTGGCTCAGAAGCTTCAAAAAGGTTATGTCTGTTGGAGTACTTCTGCAGACTGAAAATGACCCTGACATGGAAGAAGTATTTGCAATAAAGAGAACCCCCGCTACATCAGGCTACAGTTGTCCTCACCATTCTGTGTCCAATACATCCAGGAGAAACCTCTATCTCTGCACACACACTGAAATGATACCTGGGCATCCGTCTAATCTTTGCAATTAGAATGCGATCACCTGTGTGCATAGGCAGAGCCTGATGCAATGTCTGGCACCTGTAAAGTGCTCAGCAGGCAAGTGAGGAACTCAGTTCTGACAGGGCAACTAAGGTAGAGCGAACAGATGGGACTCCTTAATGCTCTGTGTTGCAAACACACTCCTACAGGTGCTGCCTCTGTGAGTCTTCCTTGCTGGTCAGCCACACCCCCATCCAGACCTCCGCAGCCCCTGTGACTACCTACCAGCAATGGCGACCAGCAGACCGACAGCACGCACATGATCCCCATGAGTTGGATGGCCGTCTCCGTCGTGATCCGGCCCCACTGGGCGCTGGACTGTGATGCGGTGGTCTTGGCTCGGCAACGGGAAACCAGGGCCTTAATAGTGGCCAGGTTGCAAGCAATCGTGACCGCCAGCGCTGAAAGCCCCAGGAAGGCAAAGGTGGAGGCGAAGAAAAGGTTGCCCCAGTTCTGGGGAGAGCTGGTTTCGTTGCCCCCGCCCCCGGTGCTAATGAAGCACCACGTCCCGGGCCACTGGATGGTGTACCGACCCACGCCCAGAACCGGTAACAGGGCGAAGGCGAGCACCGCCAGCCACACGCCGAGCAGCACCGCGCGGGTGGCGCGCGTCTTCATGTGGCTCGCGTACCAGTGCGGCGCCCGGATGGCCAGCGCCCTCTCGACGGCCATGGCGCTGGCGATGAAGAGCGAGGACAGCCCGAAGACAGTCATAGTCAGGCCGAAGAAGGTGCACAGTCGCCCCGACGGGTCGAGCTGCTCCCAGCGCTGCTTGGACAGGTACACGACGATGACCACCGGGCTGGTGAGCAGCTGCCCCACCATGTCGGTGAGCGCGAGCCAGCCGATGCACAGCAGGAACGACTTCTTGCGCTTGCTCTCCCGGCGCCGGTAGCTCCGCGACACCAGCAGCATGGCCAGCGCGTTGCCCACGAAACCGGTGATGAGCATGGTGATCGGGAAGACCACGGACACCGAGCCGCAGTCCTCGCCTGGCCCCGCCGGGCGCGTGAGGTTGCCCCGCGCCTCCGCGGACCGGTCGGTTCCCCACATGCCAGGGTAGGAGTGGTTGAGGCGGGTGCAGAAAGGGGCGCTCCCGCCGTCGCCCCGGGTCTCCTTCATGTTGGCTTCGAGGTGAGCCGGGGACGGCGCCCAGAGAGCAGCAGCGGGAGCCGGCGGACGGGGAGCGGACAGCGGCTGGGGTCGGCGGCAACCCGGGTGCGGGCTGGGGCTGGGACTGGGGCCAGGGCTGGGCTGCCCTCCATGTTGCGGGGCACAGCCACCGCCTCACCTGGCCACTCGGGCCGCGGCGCCTGGGCTTTCAGACCACGCAGGCAGCCGCGCCGTCCGCTCGGGGAAGCTTCCAGCTCCGCGGACGCCGAGCTGCCCGGGCCTTTCTATTAGACGAGAGGGGCGGGGCGCTGGCGGGTGTGGGCGTGAGTGCGGTGGGAGGAGGCTGCAGTCGCAGCTGAGCGCTTCTTCGCTGCAGCGTGACTGCTGCCCTGGCTGAGCAAACCAGCAGGATTCCAGGATTCCGCTCGAAATGACCCAGCCCCTGGAGCAACAATTTGCCCAGGAGGGCGTGCTGCACGCCTGCCCCTTCTTGTCCTCTGCCGTGGGGGTGAAAAGGGGCTAAAATATCTCACTGGCCCTCCTCACCCCAGTTCAGCTGCCAAGACAAGCTGAGAGGCCACCCTTCTCCTTTGCCGTCCACACTTGCACAGGAACCTCCTCCTGAAGCTCTTTTTAACTGTCTAGGCAAAACACACTTCTTGCATAGCTCAGCATAAACTTTTGTCCCTTCTGCTTCAAGACTCTAGAATGATCATGAGCAGGCCAAAGCTGCTCCGTGCCGAAATATACTGAAACTGTAAACCGAATAGTGTCTCAGGCATAGGGAAACAGGCACAAGGAAACAAAATAAAAAGATGGTCGAATTTAAAGATGAAGAAATCCCACTACCACCCCTTACCTAAATTCTACCCTCTCCCTTAGGAAACAGGTAGGGCAGGTGGCAGCCACATGCACAACTGTATCAGGGAAACTGTTGTTAGCCTATGGGAGCTGGAGTGTGAGGGCAGAAGAGAGACAAACTCTTACAAAGCGCCCAACCCTCCTCTACCCCTTACCCTGTTCTCATACAATTAGTACTGAGACCTCTATTTAGATGTTAGGAAGGGCTTAAACCATGTGGAAATTCTGCCTGGAAATAATAAAAATTTAATAAAGACAGGCATAATTGCCTAGTACATTTTTTAAATAAGCCAATGTTTTGAGTTTTTACGAGCATTTCCCTATTCTATCAGCGATTCTTCATGGTGGTGTTGCTATTAGTACTCTCCTTTTATGGTGAGGTAACTGATACTCCATGAAGTGAAGGAAATGCTCAAGGTCTTGCAGCATTTCTCTGCTAGTTGGAACTACAGTGTACTTTACATAGATACCATAACCACTTTCAGCAGGTGAAAATCTAGGGCAAGAACAGCTATTCCCAAACCTACAGAGTGCCTGTTTTTTCTGCCTCTTCACATTGTATAGAAAGTAAAATTTGATAAATTACTTACAGACCCGTGTTTTCTCATATTTAGGAAATTAGACCTAATCTTATAGCATTAGAAGACCATTCCAGACTTCAGATTGACTTTAAGAGCAAGCCTACTTAATTTCCTTGCCTTTCTTAGCTTAGCTTTTATCTTTTTTGAATGTAAATGAGTGGTAGTAGATAAGAATGCAGTATGTCTCCACTCTCCTGGGATTTCTTCTTTGCTGTTGTTTTGGTACTTTTTGAGTGCCTGAAAAAAATATTATATGGTTAAATAGTTTTTATTTTTTTTCCTTTTTTTTTTTTTTTATATTTATTTATTTATTTATACAAGCACTGGGTACAGACAGAAGCACGGGAGGGTGAGAGAATTCACCAGAGCCAGAGCGGGGAGCAGAGCAGGCAGAAGGACTGAAGTACACTGCTGAGGGGAGCAGCGGGCAGCAGGAGAGGTCTGCGCGCCATGTGGGACCCTCCTCTGGTGGCCGGGGAGCAGCCGGGGATGGAACCGGCGCTGCAGAGCCTGCGGGCAGCTTTGCAACCCAGCGCTCAACCGCTGTGCCACCAGGGAGGCCCCCTGGCTAAATAGTTTTTAAAGCAGGAAATGCAAAAATGCAATTTAAACTCCATTTCAGGGCCTCCCCTGGTGGCGCAGGTGGTTGAGTGCAGCGCTGTGAAGCTGTCCACAGCCTCTGCAGAGCTGGTTTGATCCCGGCCGGGCCAGCGAGGGTCCCACATGGCGCAGCAGACCTCTCCTGTTGACCTGCTGCTCCCCTCAGCAGTGTATTTCGTCAGTCTGCCTGTTCTGTTCCCTGCTCTGACTCTGGAAAATCCTCTCACCCTCCCGCGAATCTGGCCTGTATCCCGGTTCTTGTATAAATAATCTTTTTAAAAAACCCTACATTTTAACAACATGCATTAACCATCACTAATTTTATAGTGTTCTTGTGTAAAAATTTTTGCACTTTTGAAGTTTTATTTAAAATGTGGTTTCTAATGAGAACAGTAAGGTATTGTGGTTTAACTTTTTAAATATTCCCCAAACACATTTTATGTTTGAATTAAACCATAAATGGGAAAATGTTTGCCTACAATGTCATTTGAAACGTTATCTAAGCTTTATTCAAAGCATTTGTATGAAAATACATATCATTTAATTTTTCAGCAAAATTTATCCTATTGTATCTTAAAATGACACCATTTCCTAATTCATAGAGCAAAGAAAGCAGTTCATTACATCCAAAAATTCTCATTTATGAATATTGGAATTCTTTGAAACTTTTCTCTCATTGCAGTGTATGTTATAGCCAATTGAACTATGGAAGAGTAACATATATCAGGATGTGTAGAATGTCCTGATGATGTGAAAAATGCTAGCTTCTTTTACATAATCTCCATACCAGTGCACTGAATGAATTGGATTTCAGGTCTTTTGAAAAACACCCTTCTCTTTTCACCATTTTGCTTCATCCTCTTTTAAGCTGTCTGCTTTGTAGTTAGTTATTCACTTTCTAAACAAGTGATATGTGGGATCCTAGGACTCATACAAAGATGCTGGCATCTAAGTCGTGGTTGGCATTTTGGTGTTAAAGTAGAAACACTGAATTGTGTTTGAAACACCAGCTCCCTCTAGTGACCAAAACTGTGCACTATATTAGAGGTATTCTAAAGTCTTGAGCAGTTTTAGAAAACTTAGCTTTAAAACGACTTAAAACCTTTTACCTAATTACTTATCTTACAGGTTTACTCATTAATACATAACTAGAGTCATCTTGTTTCTTACAGCACAAACTGGCATGTCTGGTTAATCAACAAAATGGTGGAGTATTAAGGACTGAGTGCAGATAATTGAAAGATCACACATTTCAAATGGTTTTTATGGTATATATTTACCCACTATATAATTTCAACTGAAATGCCGCCCTAGGAATTTTAACCTATAAATTCAATTTTATCCCTCCTTCATCTTACATTTTAAATTTTGCAACATAGATCAAAGTTGATTTTACTATTTACTTTTACTTATATTTAGAAATTTTTAAAGATATGGATACAAACAGTATTGTTTCACCTAATCAGGTCCTTACATCCCTTATTTTTGACGGAAAATATCTGCAACTCTTACTCTATGGAGCCAATTACTAATTTCAGCATATTTTCAAGTCACTTATTCACATATTTATTGAACACCTACTCTGTCTGACACAGCACTAATTGCTAGGGGTGTGAAAGGACCACACCAAATTTTACATTTATGTAGATATTTCAGTGCAGAACTTTCGGGCTTTTTTAAAATCAAAATAACAGAAGAATACTAATCCCAGTGGTTTTTGTGATTTGCCATGGAGGTAGGGTCTTGTATTAAGTACAAATTAAAAAATTATGTAAGTTTTCACCAAAAAGAAAAAAACCAAACATGCATACACATTCATATTGAATTAATTTCCAGCAAGTGTTTAGGTAAAAGTCTTTTTCTACAAATGGTGCTGGGAAAACTGGATACCTGTGGCAAATAAAAATGAACTTAAACCTACCATGCTACAAGCAAAATTGATCATAGATTATATGTAATTACATTTAATCTTAAAATTATAGATATCCCAGATTAAAACAGGAGAAAAATCTTTGTGACTTTACTCTCCCATCAGTATTGGAAGTATTCCTGCAATATTTCTAGATGAGCACTATATTGAGGAAGTGAAATGCAAATGTCTCAACTGTGAAGGACTGATTAAAACTGTTACTGTCATCCAGTTTCATAAACTTCTAGCAACCTGGTTTCTAGTGACCGAACTTGATCAATAATACGGACTCACACAATAAGTACCTGCGCCTTGGGTATAGTCTACCTCCGTAAATGTTCCATCTGTATTTGAAAGGTGTATTCTGGTTGATAGGTAATGTTTAATAAATGTATTAATTACATGAAGTTAGTGGATGTTTATCTTCTCGATCTTTGAATCATTTTCATACTTTTTATATTGAGGTGAAGAAACTTCTCTGAAATTCCCCGTTTTTGCTCCCTATCTTTTGAACCCTAGTAGGTACACATTTAAAATTTTATGCTTTCATGACTGACTCCACTATGAAACCTTCTTTACCCTTCGTATTTTCTCTAATCTTTCATGAAATAGAACCATTTCTTTTCTGATTAGCATTATCTTGGGTTTTTTTGGGCCATTTCAGGTCAGGCCATTTCAGCGCAGTCTTCATTTATCCAGTGACAACCACCACCTTATAACTGGGGATGTTCATTTAATTAAATCATCAGTATGGTGGGGTTTAGACCTACAACTCTATTTGTTTTCTACTGTTGTTTCCTTTTTCTGCCTCCTTCTGGATTTATAATTCTTTTATTTTCCTTCTCTAACCTTATGTATCTCTCCCATTCAGCGATTACTTGGGGCTTTATCGTATCTTATACTGCCTTTAAAACACAGAACACTTTATGTTTAACCTTGTAATAGCACCTTACATTTCTCCATTCTTAACCTATGTGCTATACATGTTACTTATATATATGGGTCTCACAATATATCAGTGACTTTAAACAATTACCTTTTAGAGACCTTGAGAAAACCTTTACACACATTGCTAACATTTTTTTGTGCCCAATTTCCACCTGAGTATTATCAGCCAAAAGAACCTTTAATATGAGAAAACCCTTTTACATTAGTGGTGTTCTTTCAGAGTTGAGTAACCAAAAGTTTGCATCTCATCTATATTCTTAAGAGTATACAGAATATAGAAAACCAGGCTTGTGTTTTTTTAGATACTTCTAAAGTTACTGTACCACCCTCTGGTTTTGCACAGCTTCTGACAAGTTGGCCATCATTCTTACCACTATTTCAATATGAACATTATCCTCTAGTCACTAATTAGATTACAAAGAGTCAGTCTTATGTGTACCATAGGTTTTTGGTGCTTCTGCCCTTAGTGATATTTTTTTCTTGAGACTTAAGTTTGGTAGCTGCTCTATCTTGTGAAACTGACATTTAAGGGGAGATATACAATAGGTAGAGATATGGATACTGCTATTATAGGGAGTAGGCAGCAATAAGCTTTAAGCATCAGTATATATGAAATACATGAAGATATGGGAAGGGAGAATAAAAACAAGTCAGTATTAGCTGTATAATTAATGCCAGACACAAAAAAACATGCTCAGGGTCAAAGCGCTGACATGAAGTAAAAAAAATCAAATCAGTTATTTTGACTCCAGGGGAATATAGAAATCAAGTACCATTGCTAATCTACTACTGGGTCACATCTATTAAAACCAACTTCACAGTACTTTCCTGTTAGAGGTACTTGGGCTGCATAACCTAATAGGCCACAGATGTTTCACTTTGGGAGTAGACACAAAACTGTTGAATCCAACACAAAAGTCTTAATTCATTTTCAGTCAGTGTTCAACATGGTTCAATTTAATATGGACAGCATTATTTATGAGGTCACTTTATTTTCCAGGTTTTTCCACAACCACAGTATTTTTAGTCTCCTAAAAACCTGGTTGAACCTCTAGTCTTTGCAAATTAGTTCACCTTATTCATCTATAAATGTATCCTTTGAGACAATTCAACTCCAAGTTTTGGCCTTCTCATTCAGGGAAGACGGATTCTTACCATTTTATGACTATTGCTCCATAAAAAAAATTTATGTTTCCCCCATTACCTTGAGTTTATTGGAAAGGGGTTGCCTCATATGTTTAGCTTCAAATCCAGGTCTTTCTACTTCCTTGAATGTTACCTATTAGGTATATTTTAGTCATCCATTAAAGTATTTGGGAGTTTATCTGATCATTCTATTTTTCTTATTCTAGAACCTTTAAGACATTTAGGACATTTAGACGTTCCTAAATATAGACATTAGGAACTATTACTATATGGTTAGTGTTTATATCTGTGTAACGGATATTAACTGCTCCAACTCTCTATCCTCAAGTAATCATGTATTTCAAGTGCCTGGCCAAAAAATTACTAGTATTTTTGGTAACTCTTAGTAACTACAACCTTGATTCTAATACTACACTGATGGATCCCTCCTGATAGTAATGCTCCTATCTACCAAAGTCCCCTGTGTCCCCCAGGAGTCTAGATCTCTTTCCCTTACCCACTGACAGTTCCTCTCCAATCACTTACTTTCCTTACTATTTGAGAATGGAAACATTCAGGGGACGCAGAGTAGGTTAAGGGAAAGATACTAGCTACAGTGATGAAATTGAGCAAACCCTACCATAACCAAATGATGAAGGCTAAATCCTATGACGGCATATAGATACGTACTAACTTGAGTCAAGAGATTACTGTGGGAATCTATAAGTACTGTAATTTTATTATTTGATATTATTTAGACAAAGGATTCCAAATGGAAATTTAAGAAAACCTAGCAGTTAAAATGACAGCTATTGAATGCTATGAGATTTAATTCAGGAAGCATATATGATGTACTATTTTACCACATGAAAAAATGTATGTAATGTTGTGGTAAGAAATAGTGATGTAATATGGGTACTTTCCATTAAAAAAAGATCAAAACATTTTGAGTACCCAAGGTTATGATAGTGGTTTTAGAGTATTTTAAAGAAAGCACTTATATATACAAATATGATATATAAAAAATAGTGAATATAAAGAGTTTAAAAGTAAAATCAAAGGTAAACGAGACTGAATTATAAAAATAAACATTAAACCAGAGTTTAAAAATTCTAATTTATTTCTAACAAACACCACTTGATGCTTGACTCACAGGCTTTATTTACATTTGTCTACAGCATCATTTCCTTATGAAATGAACTATTACAACTTAGTCAAACCAAATGAAATCATAATCATTTGAATTGCCTGTAAACTACTATTAGCTAAATTTATAACTTTGCATTTGTTTAGTACAGTCAAAGTTTTAAATACAGAAAGCACAAGAATAAACCAATGGTAACATGTAGACTCTAGAAGATCATCTGGGCAATTTAGAAGGTGGACTTTCAAAAAGTCTGAGGCACAATTACAAGAGAGTATAAGTTCTTGTGCAACCCATGGTAAACGGAGCAAAGAAAATTAAGACGTAAAAAAACAAGGGGAAGTTCATTGTAAAAATATCAAAATATTTCTACATACTTTGCTTTCATCTATAGTTCAGTTGAAGAGAAAAATCGCTCATTTTAAAAGAAACAAAAATAATTTGTTTGTTCTGTCTACTACGTATTTTAAAATGCTTTATCTTTAATTGAAGTAGACATTAATTAAAGTTAAGGGAAAAACAAAAACAAAAAACAAGGAAAAGTGGGCACTGATCCCCATGACAAAAAGTCCCCAAGCACAACTGTTGATTTCCCTTCATATACTTACCTTGCTTTGTCACTGTAGACACTGTTAAGAGAAATCTTTTTGTTTTTAAACCAGACACAAAATGGAGCTGGAGTGACCAGATTTTAAGAAATAAAACAAATTCTTCAAGTATTTTAAGCCATAAATAATTTCAAGTGAACAAGAACAAGAATTATTTCTGCTTATGTCAGAACATAGGTTCTGCTCACAAGAGAAATAAGCATTCATTACTCAGAAGAAAATTTTATGCATTGTTTAAACACCTCAAGGTAAATGTTCACTTAAATTCATAATGTCCCTATTGGTCTTTAATACAAAGAGAGATATACTTCAGAAGCTTTCACCAATTTGTTCCCCATTAAGTATGACACAGCTTTTGTGTACCCTATACTATGTGATAACTAGATTTTAAAGGCTATCACATACAAGTGTCTTAAAACATTAGGACAAACAATCTGAAATACGATGTTTTTCTCATCAGACAACTTAACAGTAGAGAAAAAAATGAACTGTTAAGACTTTCTTGCTCAAAATCATGGATCAGAAAGGGAGAAGTAAGTAACATCTTTTTCTGCAATTCACAAGATTTTTCTGCATGAAGTAAAACTGGGTAAGAGAATGATTCTAAGGCACCCTTAGCATAAAAAAAGTCAAATTAAAGAATTTTCCAGGTGACTATTAAAATAGTTCAACTGATTTTCTGCTGAGAATAACTTTGGACATAGGTTTACATAAAAAAGTTGACTCCTTTTCCCAGATAAACATCAACAAATTATTCTGAACAACTTTACCAGTCTTGTCCATGCCTAAAGTTCAGGCAAGCCTAGGCAATCCTGTCTTAAGTAAACAGACAGCTCATATTTGGAAATGAGAAAAACAAGAGTTTAAATTAGCAAACAAATTACTTTGCTATATAGTGAGATGGTATTAAACGAAACAAACGGTTGTAAAGATGGATGATAAATAGAGCATCTATTCTGGAACATTATGGCTTAAAATACCATTTACTTTTAATTTCACAAATAAACACAGTTGTATTGTTCTGAAAAGCAATGAAAGGCATGCACCTCTACTAGCAGATTTAGCACTTCTGACCAAGTAAGACACCAACTTCTTAAAAAATATGCTTCATGCACTGTACTGGTTTTTTTTTTTTTTTAAAGATGTATATTTTAATACATTATTTCTTTTTCGAACTTGAACGGGAACCAGAATGGGATGATCCAGAAGATGACCTGTGGTGCCTGTAAGACATAATGAAGAAAGCAGGTAATTTGGTAAACTTAACTTAGCTATCAGGAGTCATTCTGTAAGACTTGTGAGAATATAAGAAATTAAACATCATTATGGCGCAAAAGGAGTAACTAAAATCAAAGATAAACATACATATAAAAATAGTATATAGGCTTTGGATGTGAGCCCAGTTCTAACTGTGATTCAAAATTTTCTATAATTAAAAATATCTCATTTCAAGATATAGCCACCTCTCAATTATTTAAGGTAATAAAGGAAGCCTTGCAAAAATGTGTAAATTTACAGATAAAATACAACAAAGTCATATAAATGTGGTAATGGAAATGTAACTACATCCATTTCTGATACACTACAGTGTATAAGTCTATATCTAAAACAATATACAGCAAGGCTTCTGTGTATGAGAATACATATTCATAAATAATTATGGCCTGGAAATTTAAGTCATACAAAATGATTGTACAATTATTATAGGGCTATATTCATGCAGCTAATATGAATAAGTCAATATATCAACCTGGGTAAAGTAGTGGTGTTCCGAGGGGTTGGCCCTGGGCTCAGGGTTGTTTAGTGTTTTCACCAATCACCTGGCTTATGGAATAGAGAACATGTTCATTAAGTTTAGATGACAACAAACTAGGGGGATTATATGTGGCTAAGGTAAAAATTTGCAGAAGTGGTAAAAAAGTGACAGAAATAATTTGACTCAATTATTGAATAATTTTCTTACAAAGGAACAAATACACAGATACAAGACTAGTTGTGTGAAACCTTAATACCTAAACTACAAAATGTGAAGTAGATAACAACAAATTATTTTGTACAAGTAGGAATCATGAGGTAACCCTACCAATGAACCCAGCAACAGTCAGATTTTACCTAATTTTTACTTTCATAAACTGAAAGGACATGGAAAATTTGCAAGGATTACAAAAGAAGTCATTAAAATGACTATTTAGACATTGAGAACCAAGAGAAAATCAATGAAAATGAGTTATCAATTAGCCTTTTGTTGAAAAGGATGACATGACACTTGCACTCTCCAAATTTAAAAAATGTAAATACAGATTCAGTAATCTAATAAATGTCTTTCTCTAAAAAAATGGATTCAGATTGCAAGATTAAAAATGTATTAGCTACAAGAACAATTTCTTTATAAAGGGCATGAAACCATTATTTGCTGTGGAAATGCATTTACATATATTTAAATGAGGACAATTTCTAATGATCTGAAATAGCCAATTAAAGTTAGATGCCCTAGAATCCCATGACTTCTAATATTTAATGTAAAATCAATCACATAAATTAATACATATAAAATCAACCTCTAAATCACATCAACAGTTTCTGAACTAAAATTCTTAAAAGACAGAAATAACCGAGAGTTGGCTATAATTATTTATGAAAATAAAAATTTAAACAATAAAATGATCAGAGTGGAAGAGTGGTTTGATCTATAACTTTTCTAAACAACCTGACCAAAGCACACAGAATAAACAAAGTAATCGATCTGTTTTTTGTAGCTCAAAGTTGAAAAGTACAATTTAAAGTTCAAACAAAGGAGATAACGAAAATCTGATCCTTGACTAGTTAAGTTTAGTGAGTCTATTAAACACACGTAAGAACACCCATTCTTATTTCTACAGAAACCCAAACCTTTCGGGTGACCGTGATCTTGTTCGTCTTTTTTTTCGATCACCAGATGAAGAAGATCTAGAACGACTTCTCTTTCTGTTCCTCTCAGGAGAAGATGATGAGCTTGAGTAAGATCTTTTTCTTGGGGAAGAAGAACCCCTGTGGGACCTGGAGCTGGATCTTCATTGATTGAGAAACAAATCAAACATTTCATTAAAAGAAGAAACAAGGCAAATTATTTAGTTAACAGCTCCAAAATAAACAGGATTTATAACTATGAAAATTTTGTAAGAAGGAGTACTTACTGCTTACTCAAGAGAAGACTTCTGGTTCAAAATGAAAACTATTTAAATACAATTTAACTTCAGCTCTTTTAAATTTTAAGTGCTCATCACTAATAACTGAAAACCATCTTAATATATTAGTCAAATTTTAAATTATTTTTTTGAAAAAACTTTCAAAAGTTTCATTTTTATATTACATGAAAATAGCAAACCAACATGTCTTTATGATTAGAAAATGTATCCCTCCTTTAGGGGGAAAATTTGTCTCTTAAATCCCACTTCTGAGGATAAACATCAATTTCTTGTGGAATTATGCAACTTACTCGTTAAATTGCTATCAAAAGAGCAAGGATGACAGAAATGAGAGAACAGTAACTATAAAATTGCTAAATATTCAAAGAAAAATAAAATGAGTAACTTTAAAACTTGCTTTATATTAACAGTACTTTTTAATGAAGAATCACTAGTCATGAAATATGAAGTGTTGACATTCACATGCTTCAGGTAGAAGTAACTGTGCAAATGCCTAAGCGCAATTTTTTTTCTTCATTTACATATTTTGGCTGAAGGAATTTAGCTCAAACTTCCCAAAAAATTCACCTTTGGGCTTGAAATAAAATCAAGAAAGCCCAAAAGGAGAATTCTTTGGAAAGTTACAAGCAAGAAAAAAAAAAAAAAATTGGGAAGAGTTATGAAGGGCTGTTCTGTAAACCTTAATTATAGTGCTTCTCAAAGGGAACTAGGACTTAAGTCTCTTCAACTAAGAAGTAAATAAAAGAACTAAGACATTGATAATACATAATAACAATAAACTCATTTACTCAATTTGGTATTAGCTTAAGTGTGCAATATCATTCTTTTTTCTGAATGGCAAATTGCAATTGTCCTCAAATGCCACAGACTGGCTCTAATATACTGTTGTGTAATTAAGTTTACGAGGAGAGCTATTATAAACCCTAAAGTGTGAAATTCCATGCAAGAGGAATTTTAATAATTTTCTTATTCATGTTAGGTGCCTAAAATAGACTATCAAATGAACTTAAACTATATAGTTTTTGCTTCTTTCCATTATGCGTCCCTCTACAGATCTAACTGAAATTAACAATGAAGTTTACTCTTAAGACCACATTCCACCTAGACTAACTAACAATATGTCTTGATTTAGTATCTAAGAATAGTATGTTTTACATATACTGTTCATAGTATTCTGGGTAATGTTACAGACAAAATAGAAATATGTACAAAACCTTGCAGAAACTATCTGAAATAATAGCATATTGTTTGTTAGTAATGAAAACAACTACCTTGCAAAATAGTCTGCTTGGAGGCAGATTTTTCTCCTTTTAAAAATGAAGTAAACCTTTACTTTTTTATTTGTGCGTTTCTAATTTTATTTAAACTACCACTGCACACATAACTAATTTACTAGAGATTGATGAGACGTGGCTCCATATTTTAGCACAGAAGTAACAAACCTCGCGTAATTCAAAGCAACCACCTTAATTCAATCATGGGAATGTCTTGGCACACTGCTGGCAATGGAAACATCATCTCACAGTGAGAAAATTAAGCTGATGGCAAGTGCATTAGTTTTCTAATGCTAAAATAAAATTGACAAGTAGAAGCAAAATAAGAGGGAAAAAAAGCAGCAACACCTTCTGCAGCCTTTATTTTTTTTCTCTCTGCTTTACAGAGAGATGCTACCTCATTCACCTTGATTTCGACCCACGAGATCTCGAACGTTCTCTGGAACTGGAACGAGATCTTGACTGCGAACTGGAAGAACTTCTTGAACGGGACCTGGAACAACATGGAAGGAATTTTTTTTCCAGGACAACTTAACTGAACTTTGAGATATGAACACTGAAAGAAAGATGTGCATTAGTTTATTTCCATATTAAAAATAATAACTACTTTGAGATATACATTTTCAAAACAGTATTTTAAGGTTAACAAAATATATTTTATTCTAATATTTATGCCAAAATTGAAGATAATAATTTCAAAAAAAAATAAACTATTATTTTACAAGTTTGTCTAAGTAACTCTGAAAGTCGCTCAAAATTGTACAAATAAAATCACTCAACATTATCACTTTTTCAACAGTGAATGTTCACACTCAGTTAAAAGTCACCCAGAATTTAGACATCCAGGAATATTTAACATTGCAGTTTATGTTTAACTTCTTTGAAATGTCTTTATTCTCTTATAAAAATCTCTATGTCTTGTGTCTCTGGCTTAGTAGGAAGCTTTAAATGTTGAAAAGCATTTGTTTAGTCTCTATTTTTCCTGCCACTCAAAGCTTAGACAAATAAAGGAAAAATACATTTACAATCCTTCACTGATTTACATAATTATATTACTAAAAAAATATGAAAAGGAGATATAGTAGTTTTAACTCTAAAAATTACCAATGAAATATAAAATTCATCTATTAATTTCATTTACACCTTTAATTTGTCCTTAAGTAACCTGTAGAAAAGGATCATCACATTTCATTTAAAATTACTATCTTTATACTCTTTTAAGCTTTTGTTAGGTTTTATAATACTCAATAAATAGTGATCTAATTTTAGATTCAAGTACCTAATATTTTATTCCATTATATATTAATATAAAAAGATTTTATACCACTAGAATTCATTGCCCATTTCACTTAACTACAAATAGGAATTCTTCAAGGGACTATTGTTTGAATAAAATTTTATTTTTATTGTTGGCTAAAAATCAGAATATCTAAAAATTTTACATTGCTATCAAAATAATGTTCAAATACAACATCAATTAAAACCTCTTATTCCTGAACATCTCAAACTTATAAGCACCAAGCCAAAAGAATATGGCTGATTTTGCTCCAGAATTACCACCAAAGTTAATAATTAAAACACTGTAACAATGATTTAATGTCTAATAAATTTCTGTATCTGCCTTTAATATTATCAGTGAAAACAAAAATTTTCATTTCATTCACTTAAAAGCTTCTAAATGTAAACTACTTAGGTAATTAAATATCATTCTTTGTATGTAATGATTAATTTAACTTTTAACAACTATTTTAATAAAAGGCTTGGTGCAAAAATAGACTTTGGGTTACATTTAAATTATGTATTTTTGAAAATAGTGGACAACTTCATATCACTAAGGTAGAAAAAGTATCTTTTAAAAGACAACTCAAATGAAACCTTTAAAATAAAAAGGAAAGCTTAGATAAGTCAAGAAAAACAAAATTTATAAATAAAGAAGTTAGATACTGACATTTTGACTGGTGTTACCCTTGACCTGTACCCGTTTACCTGGACCTAGACCTTGAACTTGAGGGGGAGGATAAGCTTGATGAAGATCGTGAATGTGAAGATCGAGATTTTGAGCGACTTCGTCTATTAGATTTCTTTTTATTACTATCTTCTTCTTCACTGGCATCAAGATTATATTTTGAAAGATCAGCATCATCTTCATCCTCATCCTAACAAAAATTCAGTCAATGACATTTAGACATTAGGATATCAATGTTATCTACTAGGAAAGATAAATAGTTCTGTGTACTGGTATCTCCACAGGAATATATGATATCACTTACAGCTCCGCAAATTGATTCTCAGTCTTGATATCTAAGTACTACTACTTCATCTCAGCTAAAGAAACCTGATAACCCAGACATTTCAAGACATAAACCTTGAAATCGTATTCATTTCAGCAAGTAAGCTATGAAGAATTCTCAAATTCACTCCCTTTAAAGTTCTTGAATCCATTTCTCTCCGACTTAGTTAAAAGCTTTATGCTTTTCTTTGCTATATTAAACTTTTAGGTAGTCTCCCCAACTCTGGAAATCCATTCTGTCTCCCATTACCTCAGTAAATTGACCACTAATAAACTGACCGCTATCACTCTGAAACACGGGCCAGACAAATATACCTCATTTGTTTCTCAAAACCTTCATTTAGCTAACGATCTGTTATTACATAATGTGTCTTCATAAACACTATTTCTCTCTGAAAACAAATTCTTCATTTGTCTTTCCCCTCTAGAATTTAAGTTCTACTAAGACAAGGGTTGTTCTGACTCAGTCATTCCTGTTTCTCCAGAGGCAGGACTGTGCTTAGAAAAGCTTAATGAGAACGAATATATAATAACTTATCAATCCTAAGGGCCTTATTTTGTCAAAAACATTTACAGTATGTGGTACATAAAATAAGACAAAGGGGAAATTGGACAAGGGAATTACTTACCTCATCTAACTTATATTTGGAAAGATCTTCATCCTCATCCTCTTCTTCTCCCTCAGATTCTTTATCTTCAACTTCCTTTAAAATAGATGCAGGACCAACTGCCTTCCCTCTGTACTTTTTCTTTTTACGTCCAAACTAGGGAAAGAGTTTCATTATAGATGTCAGCTGAAAATGTATAAAATGAATCCTTTTTTCCAAGGAATTCCTTTTATATATTTAAATCGATACATATTTTAAGTCAGTTACATCAATTATATTTGTCAATTATAATTTCCTACAAAATGGAAGCTGCTGAAAGACTCAAATTGTGCTTACAGAAATAAATTAAAAAATTTTCCTTTGCTTTTAATAACTCAACTTGCACACTAATGCACAGCTTACCTCATCATATTCACCATCAGATTCTTCTCTTTCTATATATTCAACATTTTCTCTTTCATTAAAACCACCACCATATCCTAAAAAAGGGAGGCATAACTGTTATCCTAATCCAATAATTACAAAGACAAAAATGTCCAAATCACCTCCAGATAATGGAGGAAAAGAAAATTTTATCAATGACAGTTGCTTATCCATCTAGTAAAATTGTTAGTTTTTCAAAAAGCATATTAAAATAAAAAATCACTAGAGAACAACAGTCTCACAATCAGACACCTTAACTGGTAAAATTCCTATGGCTACACTTCAGATTTTCTGAATTTCACTCTGTCCTGGCACAGGCCGTATATGGAATATGGTTGGACAATAATATCTTCTCAAACCTATGTAAAACCAAGTTTTAAAAGAACTTAAAATGAGTTAATTTTAGAGAAAGTGAGACAAGACATTCTGAATAAAGCTCCAATTGAAAAAATAATAAGAGATGTAAGAAACAGAGCAAAGCTATCTTAATTGCTTCATACATGCCAGAGCAATACTGGCACCTACGGTCAGTGTTTTCTAAGATTTAAGAATTTCTTGAACTAGCAAAAGTTGACTAAAATTCTAAATAAAAAAGCATTTTAAAAAATTTAAGATTTATGACTTTAAATTTCTCAATCACAGGCATTAAAAAAATGACTTACACTATCATCATTTCATTATAGAGCCACAAAAAAAGTAGAAATGTAATAAACGTAACAATGTAATAAACAAAGTTCTTAAGGAAAAAAAATCAAATCACTGTATCTTTTCTTATTTTTATTAATAGTTTACTGTGAAAACTGCAATATATCAGTTTTTATCCTTGGCATATTTGCACATCACCCCTTCCTCCTCCTCCTCCTACCTTGTTTCAGAGACAATATGTACTCCAATTGTAATACAGTCCCTCCCTTGTTTCTGTGCATGTGATACATAAATGTAATGTATTTAAATACCAAAACAACCTTTCCTTATTAAAACCTTGGCTCTAGTTTTTCAGAATATTAAATACAAAAATACAGAAACAAGTACAGTTGGGTATATGTTCCGCTCAAGAAAACAGTTCATATTCAATGTTAATTTGAGATTAAACACTGGAAAGGAGTGATTCAATATTTTTTTTTGCCTCTAGATATATTCAATCTTATTAGTATATCCTGAGATTAAGATATGAAAAATGATAACAAATTTTAAGAGATAACTGAGAGTAAAGATCTAAACTTCAAAATACTTAAAATTAGGTGAAAAAATTTTTTAAATCTTAAAAAAAAAAAACAAAAAAAAAAAAAAACAAAACAAAAACACACCTCCATAGGCTGCAGATGGAAAATTCACACAGGAAAAAATAAAATTCAAGTCAAATACAGTAGTAGCATGACAGCAGTAGCACAGAAAAATGACTGATAAATTGCACTGTTTATATGTGGAACATATAAACAGTATTTTTGCAGCATTATTTAGAATAGCCCCAACATGGAGTCCTATGTGTCCAACAACCAACAATGGATTTATGGACAAAGGAACTATAGCACACAAAAGCACTGGAATATTATTCAGCCACAAAGAATGGAAACCTGCTATTTGCAGTAACGACCCTGAGGACATTATGTTAAGTGAAACAAGTCAGATAAAGTCAAATACTATATGATCTCTTACATATGTTAAAAAAAAGGACAAGTTAATACATACAGAAAATGGACTGAAGGCTATTATATTAGAGACAGGATCGGACTGGGCAGTAATGGACAGCAAAAATGGGTAGAAGCAGGTCAAATGTACAAAATTCAACTATAAGTCATGTATATATTATTATGGAGATGGAAGTTAATAATATACTGTACTGCGTATTGAAAGTAGCTCGTAAAGAAATCTTACCAATTCTCATCCCAAGGAAAGACAAATTTTGCAATTATGTATGGTAATGGATGTTAGCTACTTATTGTGGTAATTACTTTGCAATATACATAAACACTGAATCATTATGCTACACACCTGAAACTATTATATGTCAATTATACCTCAAGAAAAATTTTTTTTTAAAGATTTATTTATTTATGCATACTAGAGCTGGGGTACAGGCCAGACGTGTGGGGGGTGAGAGGATTCACCAGAGACAGCGTGGGGAACACAACAGGCAGACTGACTGAAATACACTGCTGAGGGGAGCAGGGGGCGAGACAGGAGAGGACTGCTGCACCATATGGGTTGTTCCCTGGCCGGCCGGGGGATCAAACTTGTGCTGCAGAGGCTGCAGACAGCCTCATAGGTTGCATCTTACCCCCTTGCACCACCAGGGAGGCTCAAGAAAAATTTTTGAAATAGAAAAAAGGCATGGCACATATGAAGAGCTAAAGAATAAATAACAGTAAATTTTTTTAGAAAAAAATTGTAGCTTATAATTAAACTGTAGCTTGTAATTTTCTGTAAGTAAAGTAAAATTATTTTGAGTATCATTGCAAATACAAAGCTTTTTATATGTCTCATACATGCCACAGAAAAAGACTAAAACTACTGATAACTGCATAAGCTATATTGTGTGAATTCATAACAAATTTACCTGATAAACTTTATCTCTGTACATAGAAAATACAGTAGTCATGAAAAATTGAGAACTTATTTTCCTTAAAAGGTGAGTAGGAGGAATCAATGGCATGGCCTGTGTGTCTATCCTTCATTCTATTGGTTTAAAATTTTTCAGGTGGGCCTCCCCTGGTGGCGCAGTGGTTGAGCGCTGGGCTGCGAGGCTGTCCGCGGCCTCTGCAGCGCTGGTTCGATCCCCGGCCGCCGGTGAGGGTCCCATGTGGTGTGACAGACCTCTCCTGTCTCGCCTACTGCTCCCCTCAGCAGTGTATTTTGTCAGTCTGCCTGTTCTGTTCCCTGCTCTGGCTCTGGTGAATTCTCTCACCCCCCCTGCACTTCTGACTGTACCCAGTGCTTGTATAAATAAATAAGTAAATCTTTAGAAAATAAATAAATAAATAAAATTCTTCAGGTAATATTGTAAAAATTGGTGCTCTAGTTTCCATGCTTGCTACCCCCCTCAGTCTTTTTCAAAAACTAGTAATGTTTAAAGACAATTACATGTCACTCTCTTGTTAAAAATCCTTCATATACTTCCCATTATATTTATAATGAATTATAATCTCCTTACCATGATTTACAAGTCTTTGCCTAATTCTGATGTGATTTCCAGAGCTAAGTAGTTCACTGAATCTGCTAAATTCTTCCAAGTCTCAGAGCCTTCACACAAGCTATTTTCCCTTGCAACTTGTTACATGGGTGACTCATACTTCACTTTTTACATTCAGTATCGCTTTCTCAAGGGACTTTATTAATCTTAAACTCAGTTTAGATGAAACAAGCAACCATGAACCCCTGAAGGTTTTTAGAAAGTGTTACAATGACTATAGTCTCAAGTTTGTCTCACAGTAAAATGTAAAAAGGTAAGAGCCAGTAGGACATCAAATACAGGTTTCAAACAAGTCTAAATTAGGATTCAAGAATGGAATTGGAGAAAGGGGGTTGAATGTAACATATACTTCAAAGCAAGAACTAAGATACTAATTTGAAAATTCCATGACTCTGGATTTTGAAGAATTAATCCAATTTCTGGTATTTTATTCCCGAAACATAATTCATCATCCTTAAAGGTTAAAAAACAAAAAACAATAGAAACAGCACCCAAACCCTGAAATAGGAGACTGGCTAAGTAAATTATTTTACATTCATTTGATGGGGTTATGCAGAAGTAAGTAAGCAATCTTTCAGAGAATGTACAAGTTTCTTTTATCCTGTTTGTCCCATGCTTAATAGCTCCACTGAACCTTAAAACTGCCTTATTACCAAGAGGAGAAACTAGAGAGCAGTAGTATTTAGTTCACACCTTCAACTTCAACAACCAGCAACTATTTATAGTGAGGAAAGTGGAATAAGGTCAATATACCAGGAAGATGGAAAAAGGTAATGAATAAAGAAGGTATCAAACATAAACTTAGATGACTTCAGTTCTTGTGAGAGTGAAATTTTAGTTAAAGTCATAAAACAGGACAACGAAAATGTAGGATAATTATTAAAAAAAAACTTTGTATAACCAAGATGAAAACGCATACATTGTGCAAAAATGAAAAATGATATAAAAAATATATGGAAAAAAACCAACTTTGACTTCATCCTAAAATCAATCAAAATGCTTTTCAACAACCTGAAATGTGAGGGAAAATAAGCCAAAAAGACCTTTGGTTGCAAATGGGCACAAGGGGAATATGTATAGACTCTAACTAGATGGCTATTTTTTTTTTTTATATAAAGATTTATGCATATAAGAGCTGGGGTATAAGCCAGAGGTACGGGGTGGGGGGGTGGGGGGTGTGTGTGTGAGAGGATTCACCAGAGACAGAGGTGGGAACAGAACAGGCAGATCTACTGAAATACACTGCTGAGGGGAGCAGCGGGTAAGACAGGAGAGGTCTGCTGTGCCACGTGGGTTAGCCCCTGGCCTGGGTTAGAACTCATGCAGCAGAGGCTGCGGATAGCTTGGTGGTGCTGAGACTTAACCCCTTGTGCCAGGGAGGTCAGGGAGGCCACCACTAGGTGGCTATTTTTCCAAGACAAGATATAACAACTTTGCTGTGATAGAGACAGAAAAGATGTTTCTGGGGGTAGAGGAGAGATGCAGCAGCAGTTACTGAAAAAAAAAACAAAAAAAAAACAAAAAAAAAAACACAAAACCCAGGTTTCAGTAACAAGCCTGTGGTTGTTGGTACTAACCATGAAGAAATATATAACAAGAAGGCAGCCGGATCTCAGAGCAAAATCAAGATTTCAATTTGGATATAACAAGTTTGACATTTACATTATGATTGCATAGGCAACTGGACATATGGGTTAAAGCAGCAGCTTCAGCTTCCGATCTAAGTTTGGGCATCACAATGTGTCAATGGGTTACACTTAACCTTAGGGCTTAGACAAAATAAAAAGCCTAGAAAATACAGGTGACAGAAAAAAGAGCTTAGGGATTGGGTCTCGAGAAACTCAAGAAGAAGGTGTTATGATTAGCAATTAAATTTTCAGTTCTTTTAAAATCATATAGTTAGAATGTGATTGTACCTTACCTGTTCTTTCTTCTAACTTAGCATACTTAGGAGTATTACACATGTTACACTCTGATCTTCTGGCCCAATTCACATTACTGCAACTTTAGAAGTGAAAAATATCAAATTAGTAAACGATAATCCAAAAATCAAAACAAAAAATCCAGCAAATATTAGATACTATAATTTGGACATGAAAACTAGAAAGAAATTATATAAAGAAATGTTTGCTAAAGAATACATATACTGATATGAAAAGAAAGTGGTTTCAACAGACTGGACTATTTAAGCAGAAAAACAAGAGCTATACAGTATGAAGAGTCTCTTCATTATTTTATGAAAACATGACATTATCTACAGAGATTTTGATCTCTTAGGGAAAAACACACTGTAAAATAAAGATTCTACTAATTTCTAAGACTCCAACTTCATCTCAAAGGAGAGTAACCCTATATCCTCCAAATGTTAACTCTTACGGAATCATTTTGGGCATTGAATTCTATAGCATATAAAACACAGTGATTTAAAATCTGTTACTAGGAAAATTCTACATTAACCAAGTCAGTATCTATGGTACTAGAAATTTACATAAGACTCTTCTGTATAGTTGATTCATTTATAGAACAGAAAAGATGGGGAGGTAGAAAAGACAGGCAAAAATAATTTTGTGGTACATTTCACATAAACGATAGGTCAAAAGTTTTTGAGTTTTTTTCAATAAGAGTATATAATACGCCAGTGCTTTTAAATAACCCACATTCCCCTTTCAGGGGATGTTAGTTCACCATAAGCATTTGCTTATGGGTATACATAAACCATCACAGTAACAACTACTATTACCATTATTAAAAAGAATTTAAGAGTTATTTATTGTTATATATCAGATTTGATTTAAAGGATTACCTCTGTTTATCAATGTAACTAATTGAAAAATTGGTAATATTAACAAGTAGTGGCTACATATATACTATTATGGAAGAATGGACAATTACTTGAAACACATACGTTTTACACTGCCAGTCATTGGCACTAAATAGGCCTCGACTCTTTTCTGCAAGTGTCTTTCCTATTTCGGTGCCCCCAGCTTTCATCATTTTAGCCTCAGTTGTTTTCTCTGTAAGTAGAAAAATGCAATATGAGACTGGAGAAATAAAAAATCAACCATACACAATCTTAACCAAAGTTTCCTTAAATGCTTACCCCGACCACATCTATTACAGCTGGTTCTTCGGGCGAAGTTTACATTTCCACATCTGAAAATAAAGCAAGATACATTTTTTAAGCTATCTTTTAAATCTGTACCTTTTTAAATATGTCCATATATCTGGATACAGAAGTTTCAAAATCACCTGTCATGTTATCCAAATTATCCTTATAATTTGGATGGAAAATATAAGATCTGAGGTGACAATTCCAGGAGGAGAAACTCCAATCTTTCACTTACTAGCTATATGGCTGTGGTAAGTAACTTAGATCTCTTTCCCCCAGTTGCCTCAAACTAACTTGTATCATTAATAATTTCCCCTTGCAGTTTAAGTCAGATTTCACTCCATATCAATAATTACTGGTGAAGTACCAGAGTTCAAGAAAATTTCAAAAGTAAACTTGCAGTACAGAAATGAAGATATACACCAAAAATGTGTTAAATATCAGAAGAGATACAAAACCCAAAGGGTGTACCAATTGGGGGGGGGGGAGAATGAAAAAAATCGGAGTGGGCTTCATGGATCTTGATCAAAAACCCTTAAAGAGGAAAGATGGAAAGGAAAGAAGGAATAATCACCAGCTGTACTGACTAAAAATATGTACCTGTATATTGGCTTTTAAAAACACGTTAAGTGTTATAATGCCATGTTAAGCTTATATTTTATGAAAGTTGATTACATTCTAGGTGGTATACCTTAATGAAATTAAGATGTGAAGTATGAAATGGACAGTAAACTTAACTGAAGCACTCCAAATCATTTTTAGGCTGGTTCCCACCCCCTCACCCCCAAAGAATATTCTTTGTGACACCAATAAGCACTGAAAGTATTTTTTGAAAACATTTTCTGGAGAAATGATTCTCACGGTAGAAATAATGTTCTATTTATGTTTGTAACTGAGTTGAAATGCATAGAGAACCATTTCAAATATTTGGGTATGACATCATCACTGTCAAAAGCACATTCTGCAAGTGACCAAACACTGCAAAAGCCAGACGTTAAGTTTTTCTATACCCTTTAAATGTTTTCAACAGTCTTAGCATCCCAAGTAATGTTATTTACAGCACTAACTTTTGTTCTATTTAATATTGTCAGACAGCTTTGAGATCCTTCAGGTCATCATAATTTTTAAGCAACTAAGAGCCATCAATTTATCATGTTAAAAAAACATAACATTTTATTTAAACTGCTTAAAATGTGGATAGAAGATAAATGCTAGGGGGAAGAGGGATTTAATCTTTCAATGACATTAGATTTTAATTCTTAAACTATCACTAGGTATCAAATGAATTTTTGTTACATTTAAATGCTGTATACCACACTGTGTGTTCACTGTAAGGGAAGAGTTCTATCCCAGTTTTTAAGCAAAGTTAAATAACCTACTTACAGTTAGGAACAGAAGCAACAGGACTAGAATTCAACCCGAATTTGTTTGCTCCAAAGTTTACCTCTTTCCTACCATTAACTCTACATAGATCTGCGGCTAGTTCAGGGAAAAGAAGTCAAAGGTTATATTCTTAGAGCATGAGTTATGCCTTCAATTTTTTTTTTGACATTTACTTTTCATAATTTCCATTTTTTCCCCAAATAGGTGCATGTATATAAAAACAGCCTTCAATAAAACCTTACTAGCAATTTTACAGAACACATTGGCTTCAACAATATCAAAAAGCAAAGTCACTAAAACACGTGCTTCTCTGCTGAAGGCACCTCCAAGGCTGAGCAGGCCGAAAAAAAAGGGGGGGGGGTAAAGAAATAAAACCAACAAAAACAGGCCTCTTGTTTTTCCGCTCTAAAAGAGAAAGGTTCAATTCTTGTGGTCAATAAATGAAGGGGTGGGGGGGGGGAGTCAGAATTTCCCAAACCAAAGAAAGGTAGTGTGTGGCAGGGGTAAGGGGCAAATAAACAATATGTAGAAAAGTTCGCTTAAAATAAAATGATCAAAAGACCCAAAAAAGGGACAAGTTCGAGAAAGCAACGCCTTCCGCGAACAAGAGTAAAGTTGAGTAGGGAGGAGTCACGTGGGGGAGATCCAATACCTAGTGGCCTCGACTAGGGGAGATTTCCTTATCGCTGAAACCTAGGGAGACGGAGGAGAGTGGTGGCGCCAAGGGTAGGTCATTTCACACTCAAAAAGAGTGTCTGTCCTAAAGAGGGGATGTCAAAATGCTGGAATACAGTCAAAACAAAGGGTCCCAAAAGACCTCCTCTTGAGGAGACCCGGAGCCTCCTTCCCGCCCCGAAGCCGGCTGCTCAGTGTGTCAACCGGCTTCAGGCACCAGAGATCGTAAAAATGGAAAACGCCGAACACACCTGAGAAAGCCCCCAACAATAAATGCTTCCCACGCCGGGACCCTCACGAACTCACTTTTTGTCAGGGCAAATCCAGTCACCGTCACTGACTCGGAAATTCTTGGTCGACATCTTGGACGCCGCCACCACAGCCACCCGCAGCTACGTCTTCACAGGAGGAAGCGGGCTGGGGGCTTTCAGCAATCCGGGCTGTCCTCGCGCCGCCTGATTCTAGCCTCCGCTACAGCAGGGTTTGAGAATGAGGGCACTCAGCAGGAGTTGAGTTTGAACGTTATTGTCGGGAGTGAGAAACCCGTACGGTTTCTTGGCTGGCCGAAAGAGTTAAAATGCGAATGTGTTCTCTGGCTCTAAACTAACAGGCGCGGCAGGGACAGCCCAGGCAGAGACCTTCGTGGCACTGGAAGCCTCGGAGAGCCCCCTATAGGTAGAAGGACCCAAGAGGAAAATACTTCCGCTCGGAGGGGCGGGGCTAGGAAGGCGGAGGCGGAAGTGACTGTGAACGGATAAGGGTTTGGAAAGGCGGGTTGCTCTAGCCGAGGTTAGGGTGTGAGCCAAGCAGGGCGCTTAAAATTAATGTTTAAGTTATTTTAATAAAGGATTAAGAACAATGTTCTTACATTATGCCCACAGGATGTCCGTTTAGAAGCTGTTTTTTGTATCCACAAAAATGTTGTATCCAACATTTATAAATAAGCTGTGTATACATGGGAATGACTTTCTTAATTTTAGAACAATGATTGATCCAGTATTATTAAAATTACCCTAGTCTGTTACAATTTCATCCCCTTGCCTATTTCCAGGAGTAAAACTCCTGAATTTTGCGTATATTGCTTTGCTTTTTAAATTTTTATTGATACATGCTTACTTCGATAAGAGTTCAACTTTGTAAACATAGTTGGCTGCTATGTAATCTGCAACTTTTTCCAGTCAATATGCTTCTAAATTCATACTAGACTGTTTCATGTATTTCCTTATAGCTCGAGTTCCTTAATTTTACTGCCATATAGTGGTAATTCCTTTTTTGTAACTGTTTATCCCTACTGTTTCCCTGGTTTTGTCATTAATATAACGTTGGTGGGAACATTTCTTATGCATGGATTCGGATACAAAAATGCAAGAATTTTTCTAGAGTAAGCATATACCTAGAGAGAACATTTTCAGCTACTTTCTAGTTATTTCAAGTCTTTGTTTTCAAATTTTTGTCTAATAATTGTAACCTTCTGGTTATCTAGGGTTTGGCAGCTTTCCTTAAAAGCTGGTCAGGTTTTTCCAGTTTTTTGTATATTGAGTTACTGTGTTTCTTATTCTTATTCTGGACATTTTGACTATTACATTTCATAGACTGAGTCTTTCTAAAATGCTTTGGAGGAGTGTTAATTTTTATTTTAAGAAGTAAGCAATCCAGTTTGGTTGAGGTCACAAATTGAGTCTCTTCTTCTGTGCTTCTTAGTTCCATGTCAGTTCTGTTTTCAAAGAATTTGTAACATCACTTTAACTCTGTTCTACACGGATAACATTCAGGGATTTTTTTTAGGAGCTTGGAGAATAGTTTTTTTTGTTTTTTTTGTTTTTTTTTAAGATTTATTCATTTATACAAGCACTGGGGTACAGGCCAGAGGTGCCGGAGGGTGAGAGAATTCACCAGAGACAGAGCAGGGAGCACAACTGGGAGAAGGACCGAAGTACACTATGAGGGAAGCAGCGGGTGAGACAGGTGAGGTCTGCCTCGCCATGTGGGACTCTCCCTGACCGGCCAGGAATGGAACCAGCGCTGCGCTCAACCCCCTGCGCCATGGGGGAGGCACAGCTTGGAGAATAGTTTAAATAGTAATTCAGTTCACCTGTCTTTCGCTTTGCAGCTTTGTGTGGTCTGTTTTGCAGATGCTCAGTTCAGGTGTGAGCACAGAACATCTGTGGGTTCATATATAGAACTAGATCGCTTTTCTCTACTTCTCCCATTTTCTCTCATACTCTGTTTTGCATGGCCCCTTTTTCCTGGCCCTCTTGTCAAAAATAAGAGGTTTATCTTGGAGTTTTAGCTGCCTGCCATAGATGTAACAGCTGATTAGGACACACACTCAGAAGTGAAAAAAAAAAAAAGAGCAAGAAATGTGGATTCTTTCTATATTCAGACCACGGAGGTCACCTCTCGCAGTTTTTTTTTTTTTTTTTGTCTGAAAAAACAGGGTTTTCCTTGTCTAGAAAGAGGTGTTGTAGCTTTCCAAACCTGGTCCCTAACTCTTAGGTAAAAGCCCAGAGGGTAGGAAAAAACCCAGATATGTTTCCAAAACTGGTGCAGACAAGCCCCTTTCCAAACCATTCTCTCTACTTTTGTTGGGTGTGCTGCTGCCAGTTTCACTTGGTGCCAGGCCTCAGGTCGAAGTTTGAGAGGAAATACAAAAAACAAACAAACAAACAAAAAAAACCAAAAAAAAAAACCCAAAAAACAAACCCACACAGGGCATTTCTCCAAATTTTCAGTCTCTTCTCCAATCTGGCTGTTTCTGTTACTTTTTTCAGAGTCCTCAGGCAGTTGCTTTTTGTATTTTGTCCTGAGTTTTTCATTATAATCAGTAAGGAAGATAGGCTATAATAGTCTTACTCCATCTTGGTTGTCATGGAAATGCAAGTCATGGAAATGCAAACTAAAACCATAATGTGATACCATTATGAATGCATCATTGATTAAAATAAAAATACAGATAATACTTCTTATTGGAGAGGGTGTAGAACAACTAGAATTCTTATTCTGCTAGTAGAAGTATCAGTAAATGTACTTTGGAAGATACTAACCAAAATCTATTAAATCTGAACATACATATTTGCTATGATTCTCAAATTCCACTCCTAATATATTCCCAAAGAAATGTTCGTGCTTACCAATAGTTTATGGCTGCACTATTCATAATAGCCCCAAGCTACAAGTTTCCCAATTGCTTATGGATGGTAACTTCCATAAATAGTCATACATTCACACAGTGAGATACAGTACACAATACTGGGAACAAATTACAGTCACTTGAATAGTATGTATGTCACAAACACAAATTAAATTGAAAAGTCAAATACAATGATAGAAATTAAAAAACGCAGGCATGTTAAAAGTTTCCATTTATAGGAAGTTCAATAGATCAGGCAAAACTAAGATGTAGAATAATGGTTACCCTAGGGAATGGGGAGCAAGTTGTGACAGGAAGGGGAACAGAGGCCATTTTGGTGTCTGGTAATATACTTTGTCATGATCTGGGTTGCATACTTACCTTCATTTTGTAGAAATGCATTGCATTACACACTTACATGCATTTCTTTTTTTTTTTTTTTTTTTTAAAGAGGCACGTATTTTATTCATTTATTTATTTATTTATTTATTTATTTATTTGTTTTTGTTTATACATGCACTGGGTACAGTCAGAAGCACGGGAGGGTGAGAGAATTCACCAGAGCCAGAGCGGGGAGCAGAGCAGGCAGAAGGACCAAAGTACACTGCTGAGGGGAGCAGCGGGCGGCAGGAGAGGTCTGCGCGCCATGTGGGACCCTCCTCCGGTGGCCGGGGAGCAGCCGGGGATCGAACCGGCGCCGCAGAGGCCGTGGGCAGCTTCGCAAGCCAGCGCTCAACCGCTGCGCCACCGGGGAGGCCCACTTACATGCATTTCTTAAACTTTAGTAACTTTTTTTAAAAATTTATCCATCTTACTGCATCCCACCTACCTGCTCATTCTATAGATACTTGCTGATATTATACCAAACTCAGGACCAAAGGGAGTGATTATAGGCCCCCTTGTGACCTTCTGAATATCGTTGTTATGTATAATTTTGGTTATTGAGATTTCTTACTGTTGGGATGCTGAATCTCCCATAATTCATTTTAAGCCATACTACAAGGCTATTAAGAGAAGATAAATTTTCAGTTCTCTAAGAAACTGAGGGTTTAAGGTGGCAATGATCCAAACTCAGAGGTTTACATTTCCAAACTCAAGGGCAATTTTGCAGGGAAAAGATTTGCTAAGGAAAGAAAAGTAATTTTTTATAGAGTTCCAAATCTTAAATTTACTTCATGAGATACACTAAAATAACTTTTCAAAATTGACTAAATTTTTTTTTTTTAGTTTTATGGTACATAAATCATTGTGATATAAAATATGTAATTGTAGGTTATAGCTTAACAAGAAAACATTAAACATTAAACATTAAGTTCTTGAAATAAGTAGGTCTTATTCAAACAAAAGAATAAAGAATTTTAAAATATAAATGAAATACTTATAACTAACCAACCCCTTAAGTTTCATCTGGGAATTTTTAGGTCATTAGGCAGCAGTAACCCATGGCAAAGTTATAGAGTATGTGACGTTTTATTGCAATATATGCAGTCAGTGTGGGATGGAGGGGGAGGTGGCTATAGCCTCCAAAATGTCACTCAGAATTTGGAAATTCTGTAATAAAATATCTAGAACTGAGGAACTGAGGTTAGGATTAGCATGCAACTTATTAGATCAGTCATCTGAAATAAAATTAATTCTTTAATACCTAGTTTGTGATATTAATTCTTTAATATCTAGTTGTGATATCTTAAATTTAATCTGTAATCCCGAGGGTATTTTTTAAGTAATGGCTATCACGTGTTAATCACTTATTTATGTTTGTTAGTGTGTTAAAAGCTTTATATCCATTATTACAGTTAGATTCCTGACAATCTTTAGGAAAGATTGCATTAGCTTTGTTTACAGATCAGGAAATCAAGGTTTAGAAAGTTTCATTATCTTGGGAAAGATTGTACAGTGTAATATGGTGACTGTACCCAAATTGCTTGGTTTCAAATCCTGCCTCTAGTGCTTGTTAACATTGTGACCTTAGGCAAATTACTCATACTGTCTGTATTTTGTTTCTTCATCTAAGAAATAGAGATGATGATAACAGTACCTGTGTTTTATAATGGCTGATAAAATTGAGTGAGATAACACACTTAAGGTGACTGACAAAGAGAATGATAAGTAATGTTTATTATTATTCATTTAAAGGTTCACAGGTAATAGATACTAAAACTGATGATTAACATGCAGTTAATGTCACAAAAGTTAAACAATCATAATTAGTAAATTTTTTTAGGAGAATTATATCAACAGAGTGATGATTTACAGTAAGTATAGAGTAACAGTGAACAAAACATAAGAATATATCTGGCAATGATGAGAATAGAATGCTATTTAAGTTCAAGGACAACAGCTCATTTTTCAAAGAGAAATATTCCTAGAGTAGGGAAGGAATTTCAACTATTATTCTCACTTGATAGAAAACGCCTTCAAAACTACCTATTCACTTTCTTGTAATGATATACTCACCAAATAACCCTCTGATTA